TGCCGAGGGGCTTCCGTGTGCCAGGCGCTGAGTGTGCACTGGAGCTGCAACGGTGAGTCAGAAAGACACTGACTCTATTCTCATGGAAAGCATATTCCAGGGAGGAGACAGAGATGACTTTAATAATTCTAACAAAAATATCAGTTCAGCTTCTGAGAAGCGCTGTGTAGGCGAACCACGGAAAGACCGGATTTAAACTGCAGGGGTGAGGGCGGGCCTCTCAGAGGAAGGGCCATGGCAACAGGGATTGAAGGACGAGGAAGGAGGCAATGAGGGGGTGTGGGCAGCAGTCACAGCATGTGCAAAGGCCCTGGGGTCGACATGAATGCTGTGTGGTTGTGTGTGACACCAGGACAGTATGCCTGGAGCTCCAGGTGAGGGCATGAGGGCTGCTACTGAGCAGGCGTCTGGGGTCAGAGTGTGTGGGGCCTTGTGGATTACGGCAAGTTTGGCCTTCACCTGGAAGGCTGCAGGGAACCTCTGATAGGAGGGTTTAAGAGATGGACACAGCAGCTCTGCGTTTTGGGAAATTCATCCAGGTCTGGGAGATGGGGTGCAGGGCAGAGGCAGGGTGACCAGAGAGGAGCTGCTGAAGGTCCTGGAGGGAGATGGGGAGGGGGGGAGGGGCTCCTGGACTGGGTTGGCCTTTCTCTGAGCCTCCCTTTGGGGCTTTGATACTGTGCAGGCAGGGATGCCGTAGGCCACGTGAGGCCTTCGTGGAAACCAGGAAAGAGTGTCCTCTGAGTGGATGACTTAGGAAAGCTCCTGTCCCCAAAGCATGAGAGATGGGGCCCTGGAGCACACAGCCTGGGAGGCCTGGAGATGAGCTCCTCTCACCCCCTCACCCCTCACCCCTCACCCCTCACGCCTCACCCAGGGCCTCTGGGCAGTGAACGAATTACACCGTTGTGCTGGTGGACGGCCCCGCCGTGGGACCGAAGATAAACTCAGCCCAGCCGGACCACCAGTCATGAGGAAAAGCCAGTCTCCTCCGCGTGGGGATTTACTGCACAGACAGACAGGAAATCACGGCGTGGGATCTCTTCCCTGTGCCCGCACAGCCCGGCCCACCATACCCTGGAAATGGCTTCTCCGGCCACATTTCACCCGGCACTGACGCTGTCTGAGCCTCTGCCTTCGGGGAGGCCGGTGGCTGGGGGATGGCCAGAGGCCTGGCAGGGGAGCAGGCAGCGGCCAGGACTGGCCAGGACATTGGGGAAGGAGGGGCCCTGGGACTCCGGGGGCGGGGAGCGGGGAGGGACCTCTGCCTGGGAGAAGTTCCATGGCATGAGGCCAAGATGGTGAGTCAGTGCACCAAGCCCCCTTCCCTGGACCCTGCTGACCCTCCCCCAGAACTTCCAGGGTGAGTGGGTGGGTGTCAGGGGTGGGAGCTGCAGGCAGGGTGGGCTAGAGAGAGGAGAGGGAGGGGCTCAGAGCAGGGACAAGAGCTGGTGGGGGAGGGGAGAGCGCTCACTCTCTAAGGCCAGTGCCTTTGAGGACGACCAGCTGAGGCTGGAGGGCATCCCAGAAGCTCAGGTGGGCGGAGCGGGAGAGAGTGCCGCGCTGCTCTGGTGAGGAGCCTCGGCCCGGAGCTGGGCAGCCCTGGGGTCCCATCTCAACCCCCAGGTCACTCTCTTACTGTGAAAGCCTCAGTTTGCGCACCTATAAAATGAGGGCAATCAGGCTTCCCTGGTGGCGCAGTGGTTGAGAGTC